AAATAGAGTAAAAAGGGTGCTGGAAAATAAATTACTTTTGTTTCACAACGTCTTCCATATCCACCACTAACAGGGACTGTTTATTTTCTGGCAGTTAATATATGCAAAGCATGTTGTCTGAATCTTCCCTTAGTCTTTTCTTCAGTACATTAGACAACCCCAGCTCCTTCAGTCTTCCCTTGTAATTTCCCTTTGTCTTTCCTAGTAATAGAATAGTTGGGCTGGAAGGGACCTTAAAGATCATCTAGGTCCAGCCCCTCTGCCAAGGACAGGGATGCAGTTCACTAGACCAGGTTGCTGAGAGCCCCATCCAACCAGACCTTGAACATTTGCAGAGATGATGCAGCAGTTGCTTCTCTGGACAGCCTATTCCAGTCTTTCACCATCATCTGAGTAAAGAATTTCATGCTAACATCTAATCTAAACCCAACCTTTTTCAGTATAAAACCATTGCCACTTGCCCTGTCACTGTCTGCCTGTACAAAAAGTCCCTCTCCCTCCTTTTTATATACCACCTTAAGCTTCTGGAAGGCTGCAATGAGGTTTCATTGAAGCCTTTTTCATGCTGGTCTCTCACTAAGTGGACTAGGTCTGTGCAGAATACCAAAACATGGCAGTCAGGCTACAGTCTTTCAAAAACCAAGAGCAGCAGTAAAATTATGGGTGTTTTTCCCCATCCAATTTGCAAGCTCTGTTGATAGTTACACATCACAGTTTTTTGCCATCATGGCTTGATATTGTTAAACATGTTCAGACTGCAATCATAATTTCTCCTTTCTCCCTTCCACCTTCGTCTGTCCTGCACCAAATTTGATCTTAGAACTGCTACTCAATATGCTTTTTCCCATCTTGTGTTGTTTATTCCTACCTAGGTGTCAAAACCTGGTGTCTGACAGGCTTTTTCCCCCTCTAAGGCATTTCTCTAATTTTAGTCTCTATGTTAACCTTGTCCTTCAACAAGGTGGCAGCATTTTTCAGCCAAATGACATGTGCAAATTTAATAAATGTACTTTCTAATTGCTATAAATAATTAATGAAAATGCTGCATGATACTGACCTTTACTTACCTTTTGGTATCTATCTATCATTTTACTTTTCAGGGAACAATTAACCTTTGAGTACAATTTTCCTATGTCTTGCAATGCTTTTATTTAGACTGCGTTCGTGAGGCTTTTACATTACATCTGATAGAACTGTTCAAGTCAAGGTACATGGTGTGTTCTACCCTAATACCTGACATTGAACAGAAGACTGGTCATTTTTTCTTGACCCAGGTCAAGCACAATTTCTCCTTGACAGATGCTTGACTGTTACTTACCTAGCCATTATTCTATTGACTCAGACAAGGAAAAGTAATATATTCAGGTTAAAAAAAAAAATAAATAAAAAATGTTTTTGAAATAACTTGAATTAAATGGAACATTTATTAATTTCCTTGATTCTGTTTAATTTCTTAAAGATCACAGTCTTAGGGATTCTCTTCTTAAATATTCCAGGAATATAGTCCATTTCAGAGAGTTGCTGATAGACAAAGAGTTGGCAAAACCAAAATACAATATCCTCAGGCTCCTCAGATTTACAGATATGCTTTGATAAGGCGGTGAGGTGTGTACTCTTCACTAGTTTATGTATAGTAAATTAGTAATGCCTCAGTCCCGCTCCCTAGGAGGTGCAGAGGCAGCAGCAGGACAACTTGCCTTGGGCAAGCAGGTGACGGGGCAGAGGGGCAGGTCCCTGCCCTGCACAGCCCCTGTTGCCCCCCCCAGCCCCTCTCCTGGCCAGCAGGAAGCTGCACTCTCAGTGAGCGGTGAACTCTGCAAGAAACGTCTCTCCTGCTTCAGGAGTGCCAGCGTCCCTGCAATGGAGAATGGCCAGTGCTGGTTTTCCAACCACACTGTGCTGGTCCACCTCAGGAGCAACATGGATGCAGGCATGCTATCAGAGTTTTGAAACTCAAGAGCTTCATGGTGTCTAGAATTATGATCACTTTAGGTGAAGAAATATCACTTTCAGATAAAGAAAATAAATTTGGATGCAATATTCCATGCTGAACTAGCATATTATGGGAGGTGTGATACACCTTGCGTTCTGTTCATCATCTCTTTAACAGCCATGATTTTAAAGGCTTAGGATATTAGATTTACCACAGGAAAAAAATCCCAACCAAACCAGTAACCAAAGGGGATTTATTCTCCACAAATAAACATGAACTCAGCTCAGCTATGGAGAAGGTAGGTGGTCCTGTGGCTGCCATTATTTCCATGATCATGAGAGGCAGAACTATAGAACTTCCACCCTTTCTGCACTCCCTTTCCCCCATCCTCCACACATTCCCTGGGATAAATGATCTTACAGCCTCTGCTGTCTCTCTTGAGGGATGCTGTTAACTTCTGATATGGGCACAGCATCCATCTACTGGATATGATTACAGGAAACAGTTAAATCTCCCAGGGCAGGAGCACCTTTGCATTTCCTCATTTTTGTACAAGATCACTGGCTTTCTGAAAAAAAAACAAAAACCTGAGCTCCTGTCCATAGCAGTTGCCATGTAAATAAATGTTTGTAGTCTGATGCAGTTCTCCAGTCTATGTTGTAAATCTATCAGATGTGCAGACTTAATTGCTGACTGCTAGGGTGTTAATTAGAATTCTTGCTTGTGACAGCTCAAGTATGACCTTGATTAAAAAATTTTAGAAGCTATCCTATTGTATTTGACTTGTTGACTGCAAGAAAAAAAATCCCAACTCTTCCAGCACTTTTCTGTGAAAAATCTCATGTAGTTTTCCAAAACAGTTTTTGTGATGTTCACTTGGAATATGTTGTATAAATATTCCATTCATTTCTGAGATTTTCTTGGTCTTGATGTTTCCAGTTAGAAATAACACTGTTACTTCTTTCATGTGAGGATGCTGTATTAGCAGCGTGTTTATACATCTAGTTGTACAAAACGGTCTGGCAATAACAGAGTTTAGTAAGAGAAAATTCTACAGCTAATACAAATTATCATGGTTCTGTTTGTACCAACGTGTTTTTGTATAAATAGAAGAATGACATCTCTTTGAGAAAATTAAACTTTCAAATATTTGTTTATGCCTGTTTAACAACTTTTAAGAATATATTTGAGTTTGCTTAAAGAATTTTTCTCTTTCTGGTAATACTTAGAGGCAAAGTAGCCTTTAAAATACAGGTAAACTGCAAGTTTCTTAAGATTTTTGTGCAGTCTTGTGAACTGGGGAACTCAGTGTCATCTGTTTTTTAGATTTCTCTTACCTGTTTATTTCTTTCCCTGTGTTTATTATCAATAGATACTTTGAGGCTCACTGCCCTTCCAGAATTTTCTTCCTTCATATTCTTAGTATAAATGATTGTACCTGGAAAAATAATTTAAATACAGTTGTTCCTATCTTTAAATGTAAACAGTGAAAACTATTTTTATTCCTATATGAATTTTATTTATATAATAATTTTCCTTTCCAACTGATTTTCAGGGTAGAGTAAATACTATTTCAACTGCCTGACCCAATTGTTGAGCTTCCTTGCATCTGGCCTGAAAATAAAATGTAAATTAAGATGATGCATGCTTACAATTTTTGTCTGTTTTCTTTTCATTTTGACCTTGTTTTCAAACAGAAAACTGATGTTTAATGCCCTATTTCATAATTACTGAATGACTAATGCATTCCACTTTCCTTTAGCTATATGTAATGCTGATAGATAATGACTGACTATGGAGCACTTCATTTTAATTGCTGAAATGGTGATTCTTACATTCTTCATGCTTATCATAAAACATTTTTTAAAATCAAAAATATATTTAATTTTTAGTGGAAATACTGAACAGTTCATGTGTCTCTTTCTGCACCAAAGGGCCTGAGTGTGAGTCTAACCTGAGAGAGGAAATAAAGGAAACAGGACCTGCGTTAGTTCTGCTGCTGTCAGTGATTCAGGCAGTCCATGTGTAGGTAACTTGGCATGACTTCAGGTTTTGGTATTCATATAGGAACCAATTCACTGGTCCCAACATAACCATACCTAGAGATACATAAGTTATGTCCCACATCCTGGCATTTTTCATGCTCCAGATCTTATAAAAATATTTCCTGCAGAACTGAAAAACAAACAGCTCCCAGGGCAGGGAAGAGGTGGAGAGGGAGAGGCTTTTCACATCACTACTTAATAAAATGAGAGAACTGGTGGCAGCAATTTTTCTGTGCCCCTTGGTTTGCTGCAGTGAGGGAAGCTATCACAGCACTCAGCTAGTCTCACTGAGCCTGTAGGCAAACCTCAAAGGATATTTTCATTGACACCATTCAGGAATCAGAATAATAATGTAGCTATTTGTGGATAGAGGCTCGGGAGAGGAGCACTTGTTCAGGAGTTGCAATGGTGACTCCTCCTCACTTCTATTTGTACAACTGAGCTTTGATCCCAGCCAACGAAGATCCCCGGGAGTACAAAGGCTCTTTGCAGATCCATCTTAGGAGAAGGGCTGATCTAGTCCTTAACTGGATAGCAATATTTCACATCAGGTGATGCTCTGACTCTGCACATATTTTCCAGTTGATTTTGTGCGCAATTCAAAGGTTGGAACTTGTATAAAAGCATATCATAGCTTGTATTCCTTGAAGCATACCGTGCTTGTCAAGTTCAAAGAAAATGGTTTAGACTGTTGGCTTGTCTTACTTCCAGATGTACTTGCAGTGAGCATGCATGACCTCATCATCAATTTCTGTTTCAGATGTTTGTGTCTAGCATTTTTGAGTGAAGTAGTTGAAATTTAGCCCATAAATCTAAATAGCATTTCTATCTAACTAAAGCTTTATGTGATTAAAAAATGGCCTTGTTTGGATGTTTCTAGAAGTTGGCAGCATAACAC